ATATCATCGTCCAGCCCACACGACGCCCAGAATTTGGACAAATGGAGTGCCTCACTGTCGCTCAGGGCGACAACCTCGTTTTCGCTTAGGCCTTCAAGTCGCACAGAATCCTAATATGTGAGATATTGTGGTCATCAGGAATAGCAGTTATTGAGACAGTTATCGAGCTAATTATCACATTCCACGATTTAAGAAATCTTTGAAAGCAGTTGAACAACGAAAATAATGGTAGCAGGTAGAGATGACAGTTCCACGACAAATTAGGCGCCATGAAGAAAATGGGTAGCAGTTTCCAAACGGTTTGTCCTGCAGAAGTCGTCATGGGAGTATAAAATGAAAGAATAGATATAGAGGAAAAGACCCCAATTCAAACACTCTCAAATAGAGAATATGTAATTTTAATTTCTTAAATTAACTTTAATTATCATTTTTTCAATACTCGTGTGCTTGTGCCCCTTAGATGCATTCTGTTTAATTGTAACTCTGATCAATAAAATACCCCTTTTTAGGACTTTGTCTTAAGAGGTTTGTCCCTTACACAATCGTCTGAATTTCTTTTTAATTGTTAGCGACTACCCGCGCGAAACAAAGTCTTCAAACTTTCAATTTTGTTGTGGGTCTTCACTAGATGTAATTGTCAATTTGGTGCTAAATTTAATTGTAACTCTGATCAATAAAATACCCCTTTTTAGGACTTTGTCTTAAGAGGTTTGTCCCTTACACAATCGTCTGAATTTCTTTTTAATTGTTAGCGACTACTCGCTCAAAAGAATTTTGTTTAGAATGTGCAGTTAAAAAGTAGAAAAAATTCTTAATATACATGCGGAATATTTGGTTAAAATGATTTTGAGAAAAAAAGAGGGGAAAAAATAGACGACAATCAGGGGAGAAGATAAGGCAAGTTGGCCCCCTAATTTGCCTTCCAAAAGTTCATGCAGAGTGGAACCGAAAATCCCTGTCCATTCGGAGTGACGGAACGCGGATGTGATGCGATTGGGGTCGTAGTTATATTTTACCGTTCTTAAAAGTTTGGAATCTGGCCCAGGCTAAGAGTTTTTTGCCACCACATTTGACTTCAAACGCCATAAAAAAATGATTTTGGCTGGATTCCTCGTACGCCGGTATACGGAACAAAAAACCTATTAATGTCAGATTCAAGGAATCTCACACAATGATTTCCAGCTCGGCATGTACAATTGAATATATGATTCTCATTATTGGAAAAATACTTTTTGCCTTTGAAGAGTCTCTGTTTAGGCGTTTGAGGGGTCTCTCCAAATAGTGATTTTACATCACCTTCTTTTATTGGTAGTTGTGCCATCTCTTCTTACCTATTCATACAGAAAAAAATAGTGGGATTGTGTTAATTCTTAACATTGCTCAAGCATTTCTCCATTTTCAAACATTTCCCTTTTATGGCATTCAATAAATAGCAAGCGAATGATTGTCTTTAAGATTTTGCATTTTGGATTTGTTTATGTGTTAATGAGTTTTGTTGTGATGACTTAATTTGCAGTCTATTTTAGTTCTTTGGGCTGGGTTTCTTGATAGATTTTGACTTTTCTATTGCTTGATTCTTGTTATCAGATTTTTGTTTGGCACTGTTACTTTTTTCCTAATGATGATAATTTTCAGTTGGGCAATTAATTAATGGTTCCTAATTACATTGATTTCATAAATTCTGGCTTCCTATGCTTAATAAAGATGAACACATACTGGCATGTTTGGTGGGGAAAGGTTCAGCTGCGAAGATTGGATTGACTGGAGGTAGTAAGAAAGAAAAGCTACGATCTTGTTTGTCATACCATCCATTCCCATCTAGTACTGCGTAGCTAACACTTGCTTCATGTATTTAGTACTACCCTTTTTTATGTTTACATCTGATGGACTTGCCTTGGTTATTTTGTAGGACTTTTTAGGTGTTCCTTCATTGATATTGCTTCCATTAGAAAGGAACTTATTTGGGGGGGTCGAAGATGTATTTGGTGGAGAGCAAAGGAGGTGCAAAAGCATGCATGCTTCTTGCTCTATTTTTCTTGGGAACATGGCCTGCAATTTTGACTCTACTGGAAAGAAGAGGTCGTCTTCCTCAACACACTTACCTTGTTTATACGATCACAAATCTGTTGGCTGCTGTCATCATTGCTTTCACATTCGATGAAATCGAAAAGCGCACAACTGAACAGCCAAATTTCCTAAATCAACTATCTCAGGTGAGACTGCTCATATTAATTGTTTGGCTAATATTTGATCTCAATGCAAAATTTGGTGAAAGTAAGAAAGAACATTATTGCAAATATAAAAGTAGCCTTAATTTAGTGATGTCTATTTAGTGGTGTCTAGACTTCACCTCTAAACTTAATGACAATGTAAAATGAAGATAGGCCTTGTTTAGAACCCTAACAGTTTAAGGTGATACACACATGCTGTCATAATCATCGGTAACAATTAAGTATACTGTGTCGTGCATTATCATGTTTCATTCTAATAGTTTATTTCTATCAATTTATGCAAATTTATATTTTTTAGATTGATTCAAGAACAATACGCAAATTTCGTCCACAATCTCGGTTGGCACTATGGATAATTTCTCTGAAAGGAGATAAACAAAGAATGCATAGGGAGGGGACGGAGAGAGTTGGGTGCTGTCCATATAGCATTTTGCTAGAATTTTCCATATTATTTTGTCATTTAGAATTACGTCACCTTGCACTAGCCATCACCTTAATCTATCAACCTTTTATCATTAAGTTTAAATGGTATTCACAAGACAAAATTTCTCAGTTACTATCAAATATCCAGTTGCCCAACTTTCCTGTTGATTTAACCTCATGAAACAACCTTAGATATTTTTCCAGGATATTAATTGTGATTGCAGTATAGAGAATAAAAATTAAAAACCATTGACATACACTGATCTTCGAGGATTTTGATTTCAAGGTCAAAGTTATTTCTTTTAGCAATTTCACTTTATTTCTAAAATGCTTGTGCTAGTGCGTTTGTGGGGGTGTTGATACGACGAGAAAACTACTTGCATTATCTGTAAAATAGGTCCCCTTTATTTGTTGAATGTGCAAAATTTAAGGTTTCCTTTTTGCCCTTCTGGTTCTGAGTTTTTCTGCATTTTTTTTTTCAAGAGATTTCACATTGAAGAATAACCCTATTTATTGCATATTTAAGTTATTCAAAATAGTGCTCAAATTGAAATTTGATTATGCTTCTATTGCAAATTGATGTAGGATAACTGGCCTAGCGTATTGTTTACAATGGCAGGTGGGATTGTCCTCAGCCTCGGAGATTTGTCAACTTAATATGCTTGGGCATTTGTTGGTTTGTCAGTGACTGAGGTGATTACTACAAGCATTACTGTTGTTATAGGTAATATATTTTACAGCAATGACTTACTTACTTCCATAAGAGCGTTGACAAAATTATATAAATATTTTCCTATTTTGCTCTTTTAGGAACAACCTTGAATTACTTCTTAGATGACAGAATTAACAAAGCTGAGATTCTTTTTCCTGGTGTTGGATGCTTTTTGATTGCTGTTTGTCTTGGATCTGCTGTGCATGCGTCCAATGCTATAGATAATGAAGCCAAACTTTATAGTTTCTCAAATGATTATGAAGATGGGACAACATTAATTCCTTGTTTTGGATGACTATTTTATTAACAAGTCATGACTATAGAGTTGATAGCTCAAGTAGTTGGGTAGAAGTTTCTTATATCATACATCATTTTTAATTAAGCCTGTTAGGAATTTACAGCAATAATGTGGACATCAATACAAGCATAAACAGAGTTCTACAGGTTCATCCACTAATGATAGAGTTCAATAGCATGCTCCAAAAGAACATAATCAAATGTTACAACATAAACTAATCATGACAGAGTTCAATATGCTCCAGAAATCAGGATTAACAATATGTAATCAAACATGTACCAATGCATTTACATATATATCGAAATCAGCAGGATACTATCAGCCATAAATCGAAACTGAGAAGCTAAAACAGGACATACACTGGACAGAACAAAAAAATAAAGAAACTGAAGTTTCACTTTCCTTTCATGGTGCTTCTTCCTTCTCCAGGCTGTTCTTCTTGCTGGCCAAATTGATTAGGCTCAGGAACAGCCCATCTATGCCTTGCAATCGCCGTCCAGAGAGAGTTCAAAAACTAACCAAACCTCCTTCAACCTTGGCTTGGATCATCGACTAAGAAGTCTACCAAAGCAGCCAAGAAAACCACCCAAATCTGACCGATCGATAGCCCCAAAGAAACCTAACCCTTAGCCACTATTTCAGGCCTAAGAACGCACTGGTAGTTTCATCAATTAATGGGCTAGAAGATAGATTTGGGAACCACCAGAAGGAGAGGAAGAACACGGCAAAACCAAGGAAAAATTAGGAGCATTTTGGAAGAAGGAAGAGAAAAAGGGTTGTGTATCAAAGAAGCCAAACCCACATGATATAGGTACATAACAAAGAAAAATATCTCACCAAACTTTAATCTCAACTGTATGTTTAATCAAGAGCTGCAAATGATTCAACAAAGGCACACAATCCGGGTCAAAGTATTGGCCCAACAAGGTGTTAAAGAAAACCACCTAATAAGCCCAATAAGCCTTCAAACTTCACCTTGGTTCTCGTAGCATACTCTCTCGGTTGTGAATTGCACATAGAAGGACTATTCATCATCATCGCCCACTACTTGCAAGAAAAAATTAACCAGAATCAATATGCAGCAAAGATAAGTATAATTTAAATTTTCCTACAGGTAGAATTTTAGTTCCCACATCAGAGGGATTCCTATCAGTGTGAATCTTAACAAGTTCGACTTCACCTTGAGAAAGCTTCTCACGTATAAAATGATACTTCACCTCAATATGTTTAGATCTCTCATGATAAACCAGGTTTTTACTAAGTGACAACACACTTTGACTGTCCGTAAACATAATAGGTGTATCATGCATGAAGTTCAATTCTTTTAAGATTCCCTTTAACCAAATAAATTCCTTAACCGCCTCGGTTATGGCAACATATTCTGTTTCAGTACTCGACAAGTCACTAAAGGTTGCAGTTGAGATTTCCATGTTATACAGTTATCACATAGGGTAAAGAAGTATGCTGTAGTTGATTTCCTACTGTCTTTATCACTAGCAAATTGAGCATCAACGTAGCCCTTAAGAGTCAACTTCTTAGATATTTTCTTATACACTAAACCTAGATTTAAAGTCCCAACCAAATACCTCAATAACCATTCCATACCCGCCCAATACGGCTTACCTGGGTTGGACATAAATCTACTTAGGAGACTGATCGAAAATGCAAGATCAGGTATGGTAGTAATCATTGAAAACATGACAGAACCTATGACATTAGCATACGGAATGTTTTCCATCTCTTTCAATTCAGACTCGGATTTAGGTAAATGATCACGTGAAAAATTCATATGACTAGCAAGAGGCACATTAACAATTTTACTATATTTCATTCCAAATTTTGTTACAACTTTGTTCAAGTAAGCTTCTTGTGAAATTGTTAACTTATTCTTAGCCCTATCCCTTGTTATCACCATCTCTAGAATCTTTCTAGCATTCCCTAAATCTTTCATGTCAAATTTCGATTTTAAAAGATCTTTTAGTTCTTTAATTTGAGACTTGCTAGGTCAAGCTAAAAGCATATCATCAACATAAAGCAACAAGTAGACTTCACAACAGCTCTTTATGTCATTAAAATACAAGCAAGTATCAAATTGACTTCTTTTAAACCCTATCTTCAGTACATAGGCATCAAACCTCTTGTACCATTATCTTGGGCTTGTTTCAGTCCGTACAAAGATTTCTCTAACTTGCACACATAATCAGACTTGCCTCTAGTTACAAACCCTTGTGGTTGGCTAATGAAGATATCATCTTCCAATTCTCCGTGTAAAAATGCAGTTTTTACATCGAGTTGTTCAAGTTCCCAATTGAATTGAACAACAAGAGCCAATATCAGTCTGGTCATCGTGTACTTAACCACGGGTAAAAATATCTCATTATAGTCCACACCCTCTCTTTGAGTATAACCCTTAGCCACTAATCTTGCATTGAACCTCACATGATTATTAGTGCTTAAACCTTCTTTTAACTTGTAGATCCACTTATATAGAACTAATTTCTGATCTTTAGGTTTCTTAACAAGTTTTCAAGTTTTGTTATCACTCAAATATTTCATTTCTTTTTGCATGGCTTTTATCCAGTTTTCAGAATAATTTCCATTAATAGCTTCTTCATAAGTAGAGGTTCTATCTGTTCAAAGGCTTCACCTGAAACTAAAGCAAAATCAGTTAAACTTAGGGATTTGTATCTCGGATTAGGCCTGATCTGCCTCTAGCCCTATCCCTAGTAAGCTGGTAATCTTGATTAGGTGGTTGATCATTAAAATGTTTAACTTCAACTGGTTCAATGTTATCTTGAAGTTCAGTCACCTCTTCAGGTTCAGGTTCAGTTTCGGTTTCAGGTTCAGGTTCGTGATGTGTAGGGTCATTATCATCATTCCTAGGTGTAGGTGAATCAAGCTTAGAAAGTTTCACCTCAGTCTGAACACTCCTCTCAGTTTCAGATTTGTTAGTTTCATCAGTTTTCTATTTTAGACATGACATTTCAGATTCATTAAAGACTACATTCCTGTTGTTAATAATCTTTATGCCTGAACCCCTAAAACCCATAACCTATACCCCTTCACACCCTTGGGATACCCTAACATCACACACTTGACAGTCCTAGGCTCAAGTTTCCCTTTAGATTGATGTGCAAATGCAGCCCATCCAAACACCCTCAGGTGACTCAGATTTGGAGGCTCTCCCATCCACAACTCCTGTGGAGTCTTAAACCTAATACTGCTTGATGGTGACCTATTAATTAGATAAGCTGCAGTACTTGCAGCTTCAGCCAAAAACCTTTCGGCAAGGCCAGAGCTAATCAACATACACCTAACCTTGTTCATTATGGTCCGTTCATTCTCTCAACGACCCCATTTTGTTCAAGTGTGTATTTAAAGGTTCTATGTCTTGTTATCCCTTTCTGTTTACAAAAGTTGTCAAATTCGAAATTACAGAATTCAAGCCCATTATCAGTTCTTAATATTTTAAGTTTCTTTTCTAACTGATTCTCAACAGATTTCAACCAAATTCTGAATTTCCCAAAAGTTTTCGACTTAGCCTTCAAAGGATAAATCCAAAATTTTCTTGAGTAATTATCCACTAAGGATAAGAAGTACTTACTTCCACCAAATGTGGAATGCTTTTCCGGACCCCATAGATTTGCATGAATATAGTCCAACGGACTACTGGTCCTATGAGAGCTAGTTTCAAAGCTCACCTTTTGTGACTTACCCAAAACACAAGTTTCACAGAAATCCATGGTTTCAATATCATCTTTTCCAAGAAATTTTTGATTACTTAAAGATTTTAGCCCCTTAAACCCAATGTGACCCATTCTGTTGTGCCAAAGTTTGATTTTATCTTTACTAACAGCAAGAAGACTCGAATTAAGTGTTGTTTCAGGTTTGCCCTCTAGATAGTACAGCCCATCCTCTTAGGTCATTTCATAACTATCAGAGATCCCTTAAAGATATTCAGAACGTTGTTACCAGATTTAAAAGTATATCCCTCATTTTCAAGAATACATAAGGAAATGAGGTTCCCCTTTAAATTAGGGACATATCTAACCTCCCTTAGTTGCCTGATAACCTCATCGTACATCCTGATGGCTATGTCACCAACTCCAACCACATTCTGAGAGTTGTTGTCTCCCATGTAGACCTTCCTAGACTCAACCTCTCGATAGTTATGGAACTAAGACCTTTCAAGGCACATGTGAAAGGTGCACCCCGTGTCTAGGATTCAATTTTCATCAAGTTCCACCTCAGACACATTTAGAACATGTAGACTATCAAACTCAGAAACAACAATAGCATTGTTTTGATCAGTGTTATTTAAGTCTCTCTATTTCTTCTTCCAGTCAAAGCAGTCTTTCTTAGAATGTCATAACTTTTCATAGTTATAACATTTCTTACCACTTTTGCCATTAGATTTTGATCTCATTTTAGACTTCCCCCTTCCCTTTTTGTTATGAAAGTTAAATTCTTTCTTTTCAGTCATCTCCCTAATAAATAGACTTTCTTCTCTCGCATTAGTTATGTTATCTCTTTTCAATTCTAGTTCCATCGATTTCAACGCATCTATCACTATAGCCCGTGTAAGAGTATCCCTACCATATTTTATGGCGTTTCTGATTTCTTTGTAAGATTCAGATAATGAATTTAACAATATAACAGTTAAATCCTCATCGTCGAACTTCTTATTATTATGAGCCAAACTCTTAACGATTATGCTATAATTGCTCAAATTTCCCCCTACATTCTTCCCAGGGTCCATCTTGAAACTAAACAATTTTTCTAACAGATAGATCTTGTTAGACAAAGTCTTAGTCAAGAACAAGGCATATAAGGCAGTCCATAATGTCCTAGCATTTTTAGCATGATCAACTTGTCTAACAGTGTTATCAGATAAATGCAAGATTATGGAACTATATGCAATTTCATTCATTTCTTTTATTTCATCAGGTTTAGCTTTTAACTCGTCAGAAAAAGTCAAAGGATCATCGAGAGCTTTA